ATTTATCTCTATCACATGAACAATCAGTATAACTGAAAACTCCAGTGTGTACTATGAAAAAACTGCAGTCTGGTTACCCCAGAGTATGCCAACGGCAAACCATATGTGCTTGGGTTCGTGCCCTACAGGATTTACCCCATCAGCTCTAGGTGGCCCCAAGCTTTGTGCTGCCCCTTCCACCTCCATTTCTCAACCTGACTTCATTTCTAATTCAAAATTCCAGCAGAAAACACACACCACCCTCATATTCCTATGTCTTTAGGCTTCTGGCTGGTTTCCCACAGAAACGTTTAAATTTACCAACCTCATGTATCCTTTACCTCTCCTCTGCTACACATTTTGCACCATTATGTGTAAAACTTTTCAACACAGCGGGGGAAGCTTCTGGCCAGACAGACATTTTGATGGGCAGGGTAGAAAGGGAGGTACTGACCGATTGGTCTCAGGCAGCAGCTTTTCCCATGATATTTACAACCTGTGTTTCAGTTTTATTGCTAAAGAGGAAAAAAAAATCACGGCCAATCCATGTGAAACCTTTTGTCTGCATCTTGTTACCACAGACCTATGGAAAACCACTGTATAGACAGTAAAGCATAGTACACCTTTATGCAACTTTAGACTAGTGCATCCACAAGTGATTTTCTATGCTCTTGAAAAGCCTGCCTATAAACTAACACCTCTTTACAATACTTATAAATTGTATGAGAAAAGAAAAAAAAAATGGAAAAATATATTTCTGTGATGTTTCCTCAACCTGATTCCTTTTTGCATTTATATAAAGAAGTAACATGCTGATTTGTATACAGTTGAACATTAATTTTCTAAGTATGGCATACTGTTTATGACAACCATCTCCTCAGACTTCATTTCTTATCTCAATCAGTCCCCTTAAAATCAACATCAAAAATTTTTGCAGAGACAGTGGAAATGATAAAGTTGTTTATATTTTTGCATTCAATTTACTATGCATTGTAACCACTTCTGGTTTAGACAGATAATGTTTCTGAGAAATCAAACGAAATGAAGATACAAATCTAAAACTCTGCGCAAAGCCTGAATTCTTCAGACTACGTGTGATCTTGTGTAATAAGAGCTTATGTAGCAACTTTGATCAGAGACAGCCATAATGCTTCAATGCCAAGCATGAAAACTAAAAATTTGTAACTTTTTCAAAGGGAAAAATACAATTTAAGAGCAACAGAAAATTAAAATCACTAACTTGTAACATGGAGTGCATCTCAGCTGTGTACAACTGAACTTGTGTAATTTTAAAAAGCACCAAGATTTGGCAACTACACAGAATAATTTAGGCTTGAAGGGATATGTAGAGGTCATCTAACCCAACCCCTTGCTCAAAGCTGGCCCAGGACTGTGTCTGATCAAGTTAAAACCATCTCCACAGATGGAAACTCCACAGCCCCATCAGACACCTTGTTCCAGTGTCCAACCACCCTCATGGTGGAAACATGTTCCATTATGCCTTATCAGAATTACCCATGCTCCAACTTGCACCCATTGCCCTTCACACTATCACAGTGCGCCTCCGAGAAGAAAGGACTTTCTTAGACATCAGCAAGTCCAACTCTAAAACTGAGGAAATGCCAAGAGGATGCTCCTATGGTCTTGCTCCTACTTCTTTGTTGCATCAGTCATCCTACAGTTTTCACTCAAACTATCAGGTGCCATCATTTTTTTTTTGCCTAGGACTCCCACATCTTTCCAGGCCCAAAAGACAAACCACAGTCTGTACGCAATAAAACTGACTTTAGCACGATCTTTCTGTTATCGGGGGATAATCTGCCTATTCTGTGCCCCGGGCTGTTGTGGCTGGCCTGTTGGCAGGCCCTGAGATTTCTCACTAATGCTAGCTCATTTACCTCAAACCACTCAACACTCTGTGGCATGGATGTCTACCCTTCCACCAATTTACTGTCTGTCCACAGGCTAATCATTTTATCTGTAACTTAGCTTCTCTATTCATAAAACAGCAGTACAGACGCCATTTTGCTTCTCAAGAGTGCTTGGAGCAGAAGGAGCTTTGTAAGGTTTCAGATTGCACACCTTGGAAAAGAGGATAAGAAAATGCAGAACTGTATATTTCCTGTAAGTATTAGACAGCATCTCAAGAATATGTCTTGAGATTATCTACTGAACATTAGGAAACAGTTCAGCTAACTCATTCAGTTACTACCATGAAGCAAAATCTTCTTTAAACGCCTCCTGCAATCACGTGGATCACTTTGTGAAGTGTTTTAACACCACAAAGTCCAAGCAAGATCTATCCAGGCCTAAGAAGTCTACTTGAACAGAACTAAATGTACATTTAGTTTGTTGTTCAGTAGACATTACCCCACTATCCAAAAAGAGTTACAATGGGCACTCTCATGCCTTAAAAAGGAAAATGAAGACAGAATATTTATGAAATTAGGGTGCTTGTGTGATTTGCTAGGACTAGGGTTGATAGTGATTGTAATATTGTGCAAAATTAAATAAAACAGTAATAGGAACCTAGTAATGTTTACACAAGTCTGATGAAAGGTACTTGTGCTGCCAATAATTCTACATATTGTGGTAGAATTCTATGAGGTTAAAAAACATGTTGAAACCCAACAGGAAAAAGAGTAAGAATAAGATGTAAAAACATTCTTAAGGGGTGCTCTACTGGAGTTTTCAAAACAGAAGATTTCAATCCCATCTTGTTTCTGCCAGGCGAATAATTGTTTTGATTTTAGGAAAAAAGAAACAAACACTTACCTTCTACTTAAGCAAGTCTGTGACTTTCTGTGTCACTTGTCAAAATTAACCTTGTGAAGGCAATCAGTGTCAACAGAGCCCGATTTAATCTAAGTCTAAACAGACAGTGAATATCACTAAAGCCTATTATAATGGTCAAAGGTACTGGGAAAAAAAAATTAAATTATTTAGGTTGGAAAACTGACAGAATTGAAAAAATGGTCTCATAGATTGTGACTAAACCTCATGGAAAAATGTTCTAACTTCTGAGTATTTTCCACATAATTTTTTTTGTTTCCATATCTATTTCTTTTTAATGAGGACTAATTAAAGAAATCTTAGAGGCAAAAGAGCACTCTCTTTCTGTTGTCGAGAAGAGGGAGCACGGCTTCATTTTGTGTTAGTAGGATGTAGGTAATAAATTTCAAAGGGTACTCTCCTCAAATTTATCCTAACTCTCTCATAGACACTACATAGCTGCAGGAATGACAACTCTACAAGTATAGAATGAATAGGCGAGCTTTTACTGAAATTGAATGCTTCAGGATTTATTTTCCAAAGCCAAGAACACATCTCAGTGCATATAAGAAACAAATCTATGCCCATCTTGCCAGTCATAAATGAAACAGACCAAGGCAATATTGCAGAAAATTATTAGCATTATAAAAACCAGCTATAGCGTATTTGTCTCTCCACAAAAGAGCAAGCCTGCTTTGGTATGATGACATCTTATGAAATGTGAAGTATCGTGGTAGTATTCATGAGTACTATTTTGGTTTCCCTTGCATGCTATGATTTAATCTTGCATACATATTTTGAACATCAGTGCTAAGCCACTTTACTGCCTGAGATGTCTTCATGCTGATATCCCATAATAAAACCTTGTGCAATTAAGACATATTTCAACACGAAATGGATTCCAGCTGGAAAACAGGAGACAGGAGAGCGATGCTTCCCCCGATTAGTGATATTCAGGCTCTGTTATTCTGAGATACTGTTCCCTCCATGTACACAGAAATGTATCATTTGCACATCTCTGGGACACCCTCAGGTTCTGCCTCTGCAGCTGCCACCACAGTACCCATCATCAGCCCAAACAGTGGTTAAGCTTCTTCCATACTGCCAGCCACTGCCAGGACAACGGCTGTGAAGAAACAAAGCCCCGTCAATTAGATGGGACTTCTTTTACCTTCCAACAAACCTTAATGCCTCACGGGGCTGCCTGAAAGAGCCCTTTCACAGAATTCACAGAATTCACAGAATTCACAGAATTGTTAGGGTTGGAAGGGACCTCTGGAGATCATCTAGTCCAACCCTCCTGCCAGAGCAGGGACACCTACAGCACGTTACACAGGACAGCGTCCAGGCGGGTTTTGAATGTCTCCAGAGTGGGAGACTCCACCACCTCTTTGGGCAGCCTGTTCCAGTGCTCCACTACCCTCAAAGTAAAGAAGTTCCTTCTCATGTTAAGATGGAACTTCCTATGTTCAAGTTTATGCCCATTACCCCTCGTCCTATCACTGGGCGCCACTGAAAAAAGACTACTCCCATCCCCCTGGCTCCCCCCCCCATTCCTCCATGATGTCTCTGCACCTTCTGACAGCCACCTACAGAGAGCCTGGACAGCCAGGGAATACTCTAACCATCAAGCACCTCGAGTAGGGAAATGTGGTGCATCCACTTGTGCATCATGGGCAGTCTTTAAAATCCTCCTGATTCTTGATCAGTCATTTTGAGCTCTGACAAGTGACAGGTATTTTTCATCCGTTTTCCCCTGGCTGCCCGTAGGAGGTCAAGTGGCACAGTGACTTTGGAAGAAGTGACTCACTCAGGTCCCCAGTTCAACTTCATGTTTAGATCCAAGCTTTGCACTGATGGAAACAACTACCTATCATAAATACTTTATGAACAAACGGAACATAGAGAAAAAAAATCTCAGAGATGAATTATCAGTATGTTTCGCATTCCTGTTTGGTTTGGGGATGTTTTTGTTGCCAAGACTAAAAATTAATCAGTGTCCTTTGTTTGAAAAATATTTGATAAAGATTCTCCAGTATACCTCTTTGTTGTTTTCTCCCTTTACCTTACAACTGAAGATGGTTTGTTCTTTACAGACACATATCAAACATGTTATGATTGGACAGCATTAAAACTTCAATTAGTAGGAACAAACATAGCCAAGCAGATGATCACACATTTTTTCTTTTTTGTGACATTTCTTCCCCTTTTTGTTCATTGATATTGTTAAAGGAAAACTTATTACTTACCCAACATTTTCTGCGTCTTCATCACACTCAGCCCTATATTTGCAAACTCCACATTTCGAGTGTTTTCTCTGAACTTCTGTCCCAGATCCTTCATACTCTACAAAAAATAAGGTATTGTTAACAGAAAGCATGGCTTTCTTATTAAGCTCTGATTTTGCTTACCTAAATCCATTTGCCTTCAGGTATGTTGTCAACATTAAGTTATCGTATACTGAAGCTATTAATCTAAATAGTGTTCCCTTTTTCAAAATCAGGAAATGGGAGGTTGGTAGAACTGTACCAGTGGCAAGAAAACATCCCTGAAAACACTAATGGTTCATTGACTGACTCTTCCTCTATTCTTATTTTGGTGATTTGCATTTATTCTCACCCCACCAGACACACAGCAAGCATGGACGTGTGTCCCAGTCACATTTAATCTTAATTGACACTGATAATATGTGAACCCCATGCCTTTTAGTGTCCTTGAATATAAGGTAGTGGGGATTTGAAAGCTATTTTCTTTTACAGCCTTTAATTACAGATACCCTTATGCAAGGTTACTGCTTGCATTTTTTCCCCTTTCTCTTTCGGATGATGGGATTAGATTGTGCTCATATCTAATATATGCTGTGGTAAATTTTCCAGACTACTCTGATTAGTTGTAGAAGACTAAAAGAAAAAAAGTTGTTTTAATAAGAAATTGGTAGAAATGCTATTTCCCTAAAAAAGTAAAATAAATATCTCAAATATTCTGATCCTAAAAACACCTGCACCAATCTTACTGTTGACATGGACATCAAAACACTTCACCGAGTAAAAGAGAAATATAACTATACTCTTATTGTTTCAGTACCATTAGCCACTGCTATTTTTTATTTTAACAAAGCCATAAAGGAGAAAGACACATTTGAAAAGCAGGAAAACAACCACAGAAATCTGCAGAGGGTGTCGAGAACCACTTAACGTATTGCAGTACCATGGTGTAAGGCTGACTACACACGGCTGTCAGACAGACATAGATCAGTGATCCCCTTTCTCATAGACCTTTATGGGCTGTAGCAACAGCTAATCAAACATCACCCATTAAAAAGCTGCATTTACATTCTTTAAAGGTAAATAGGAAAAAGAAATCCACAAGAGTCCTTCCTAATTTTCCTGGATCTTGGCTGAAGGGAATCTCTCCCTCCTACCTGTGGGGCTGGGCTTACACAGAGAATAGTGCAGGTGAGACTCTCAAATTAACTTCTGCCTAAAGCACGCTGTGCATTTTTCAAAGATTAATACATATCAAACTTTATTACAAAACTCCCACTGCAGAAATTCTATCACCACTCTTATTAAGTTGCAGTAGAGATAATTTGCTTTTATCTTTACTAACGTACATCTTATTTGATTTTTCCTTCTTTCTAGTTACCACATTCCTATGCCTGTTTTTGGCATGCTAAAGTGTCCTTTAGTGTCAGATTTCACTTTTCCATGCCAATAAATGACCCCCTACAGATTGAATAAGTTAAACAAATGGCACTGCTCGTGGCTTTCATTCATCGTGTTTCCACTTCTTTTGCTGTTCTTATGACCCTCGGTGCCCTTCCCCAGCACGTTAACACCTTCTGGAGCTACACATACAAGAGCTGGACACACTGCTCGGGAAGAGTTGCCATCAAAGCCAAATACTGTCTATGATATTCTTCAGTTAAAACATCCAACAAGCATATTAATTTTTGACCATTTTTCTGCACGGACCATTATTATCCACATTCACTTTATTATCCACCTTATTCCCCAACGAGTCCTTTTCAGGGTCGTCAGTCTGTAGGAGAAAGGCTGATATCCATGAAAAATTGCCTAGATCCTGGACTCGCTAGATACAACTCTATCCTCAGACATTAAAATCCCGCCAACTTGTGCATCCTGTTAGCTCAGTGACCTCTCTCCTGCCTTCCAGGCCTGACCAGTACGGACTGATTTGCTCCCAGGTCACCAGCAGAAGGGGTCACGAGGCCAAGAACAGTCCCTAGAAACACACTCATTTTGTAACAATTCCTTAACATTTAACGATCCATTGACTGGCAATATTTTTGCACATTGGATGCACGCTGTGTGGATGTTGTGCCCTCTGGTTACTTAGACTTGTATGACAGAGTGCCTTTGACTGAGAAAGGTTATGGTTTTGAGGTGGTACACTTACAGAAAATGTTCTGTTGCACAAATGCCTTTCTTGGAAAGGTAATTTTAAAAAAAGGGTAAATAAAGGTTTTCCATGAACCCATGATGACTGGCATTAAATATTTTCCCCTCCCTTAATTTTGTACTCAGTTGATTCTTCTACCTTCGATTCCACTGCTTTGCTTCTGATGGATGCCAGATTCATAGAATCATAGAATGGTTTAGGTTGGAAGGGACCTTGAAGATTATCATGTTTCAACCCCCCTGCCATAGACAGCGACACCTCCCACTAGACCAGGTTGCCCAAGGCACGTCCAGCCTGGTCTTGAACACCTCCAGAGATGGGGCCTCAACAGCCTCTCTGGGCAACCTGTTCCAGTGCCTTACCACCCTCAAAGTGAAAAAATTCTTCCTAATGTTTAATCTAAACCTGCCCTCTTCCAGTTTAAAGCCATTCCCCCTCATCCTGTCACTACATGCCCTAGTAAAAAGTCCTTCCCCAGCTCTCCTGTAGGCCCCCTTTAGGTACTGGAAGGCCGCAATAAGATCTCCCCGGAGCCTTCTCCTCTCCAGGCTGAACAGCCCCAACTCTCTCAGCCTCTCCTCATAGGAGAGGTGTTCCAGCCCTCGGATGAATGAATGAGAGGCTGTAGCCTGATCATCACATTTATCTTTTCTCAAAGTATTTGTATGTTATTTCTCATTGTTCTACTGTAGAAAAAGAGACAAAAGTCATTGTCAGCCGAGAGAATTCTTTACCATCCATTGTTAAAGCTTTTAGGTGCAAACCAGCCAGACCTGCTGGTTACAAAACACCTGTCTTCAACATTTGATGCTTAATATCCTTCTTCAGTACTGCTAGCATGGAAAATATTTCATCATATCCTATATACACTATCTGACTTAACTACAAATACAACCAGAATGCTTTGCAGAGCACTTTAGCTGCACTATTAGCATTTCAATTTTGTAATGAAGGTAAAGAAGCAACATATACACACACGCACATCCTTCCTCACCGGCTTTAGTTCTGCTCCCTGTGAATGCCCCGGCACCTTTTCATTTTCATAAACAGTAGTCCACATCTACTTGTTCATTGTTTTTATATGCTGTTTGGTGTAAACTTCTCTCTCCTCCTCCCCTCCCTCCCCCAAATGCTTTTGCTACCTTTTAAAATTAGGTTTGTTTTAGAAAAAGTGTGGCCTTTTCTCCTTGATAGAACTTGCTGGACCTCATGTATACAAAATTATCTGTACCTTATTTTGTTTGCATTTAATAAATATGTGCAAGTCAAGAAGACCTGCACCTCAGGTACTAATAATTTACACCTGTCAGGATGAGGTGTCATACAGAAGAATGTGTATTTATGCAATGTTTCCATGTTAGGTGGTAGTCATATATAATTTTTAGAAGCTTCTTTCATTACTAGCTGCATGATGTTTTATACTAGCAGCACGAGATACTGCATATCATTTAGACTGAGGTCCTTGAAGAAAATGCAGTTTTCTCCACAAATACCGAATAGATAAATACTGGTTTTCAGCCTGAATTGATAGCAGACATTTTCAGTACCCCACTTGTGTGCTGTTAAAGGAAGTTAACCCATTAATATTTGAGAACATAAGTTTCTCTGGTGCAAATGTCTCCAAATAGGCAATGCATCCCTTGACAGATTGTCCCTCCCTTCTCCTTTCTCCCCCACATTTGATTGTTCCTAAGGAGCTTATAGCCATTAATTTTAATATTCCAATCTATCAGATCTTCCCAGCAGGTTTCAGTAATATCAATTAGATCAAAATATGCTCCTAAATGAGCAATTCAGCTCCTCTTGTTTATTATGCAGACTTGTAATGTTGATGTATAGATGATTACAGAATTTCTTCTCCTCACTTTTGTTGGTATCTTGATTAATTCTGTTCTTTGACATCTTAATTTCATGTTGAGTGAAAGCTCATTTTCCCCCTCTTTTCAGCTTCCTTTCGTGTTTCAGGGCAGCACCTCATTACTGCTCCGTCCTTCAAAAGAAAGAGGCACGAGGATGGGATCTGTGACTCCCAGTTGTCTCTCTGAGCTGCAGTGCTCCCTAACACTTCTCCTCAAGTCATTATTCCTCTGCAGAAGATGGCCAGCTGTATCTTAGGAGCTGCAGGGTGGGAGCCTGCAGATGGACAGTAGCTATGGAGGAACTGGCCAGCAGTAAATTGCTTCCCTCGGCAACTCATTTGTGCGTTCCTACAATGGCCGTTTGGCTGGGTTTCTGCTGAGGGCCTTCAATCAGGCTTGAAGGAAAAGCATCAGTCTGTGTCAAGGTGAAGCTTGGTCTGCCCCAAGGCATGGCCTGGAAAGGGAGCTCCGCTGTTATGTGTGTATTTATATATATATATATTTATCAGTGTTCACAGTGAAGCGAGGGGAGCTTGTGGAGGGCTGCAACTGCCTAGTAGCCATGTATGGGTGTAATACAGATTCCCTGGTCTGGGAAAGCCCCTCTGAAAACCAATTCCTATCTGTTTTGGGAGTTAAGTGATTTTTACTGATGTGCTATCCCATGGGAGCAACTAATCTTAGAAAGATTTTTGAAAAATAGGAAGCACCACAGCAAACGCCTTTCTGCACCCTAAAGTACAGAAGACAACCCCCCCCCCCTTGATTAGACTGCGATTCCCTCAGTACAGCTAGCACTGGAAATTCCTCTCAAAATACCACACGCCACAGCATCACACGTTATGGGCTGCAGTTCACTGAACAGTTTAGTGACTTACCCTCTCTTCCATTAATTTTTAGGGCAACTTTAATGACACACTTAGTTAAAATGGAGATCGTCCCTGTAACTTTAAACAAAGCTGCGAACTTGCTCTCTTGTCTGCAAGTATCTATTTAAAACAAGTGCAACAACTACTCTCAGCTCTCCCAATTTCTTGGCAAATGGTGTCTTGAATTATCTTGACC